TCCTGTCCTGTTCACTCATGAGACTGACCTGGGCAGGTTAACTTCTGGGTGCTTCGGTTTCCTCTTTTTTAAAACATGGGGCTAACAGTAACAACCCTAGGGTCAGGGAGAGGATCGAATGAGATCCTATAAGTCAGGTGCTTATGACAGTACCTGACATGATAGACATACAATGAAAAACTCTTATCTTACTGATTTTGGGTGATGGTACCACAACCCAAAAAAGGAATTGTCGGTGTCAGACATGTCTGACATGTCAGTTTCATGTCTAGATATAGTAACTTTAAGAAGGAGAGGATTTACCAGCCCCTGTATTCCTCTGGAAGACTTAGAATAAATATTTTTTGTTTTTCAAATTTATTAAATGAAGCTGCACTCAGTGTTGTCTAACCATGATAATGGGAGATGGGTATGAAGGAACGAACCACTGGTAATCTCTAGGCCTCGCTTTACCTGATGTTCCAAACCCTTCCCCCATCAAGTCTTCTCGAGGAAACAGGCACAGTACAGTACAGTTACTTAATCAGTCTGATTCTTCTTTCACTAGTCACTCATTAAAGGTGCTTGTGAACAGTGGAATTATGAAAAAGTGGCCACAAAAGATGGAAAACAGGATTCTAGGTGATTTTTTCTGATTAATAAATTTTAGAAAGTTGACTTCTCTCAGTTGAAGAAATTTTTGGAACTTGGTTTTATTTTTTATTTAGGTGAGAATAGAGTTTTCCTTTTCTGCTGCTTAGTGTTGCACTCTTCTTTGGAGACAATAAGAATAGTGTGTGTGTGTGTGTGTGTGTGTGTGCGTGTGCGTGTGCGTGTGTGTGTGTGTCTGTGTGTGTATAGGACTTGCTTATTTGGTCACTGTTGAAGCTTAAAGAAATCTCCAAGTTTGAGGCTATATATAGCTGCTTTATATAGTTTATGAGATGTTTCACTAGTAAGTTCCTCGGAGGGTGTATTGAGATGCCTGAAGAAGTAATTTTTTTTCTCCATCAGCTTCCTGTGAAACAATAACTGAGAGTAAGTCTTTGACATATAATTTTCTGACCTGGGTTATATAGCAACATCTGGTAATAACTAGATATTTTTAAATTAGCATTCAAAGTTAATTTTCAAAGTTCTTTTACCCCTCATAACAATATTATGAGATACAAAGGGTTGATGTTATTTTCACTGTTTTGGGTTAAGTGATTAACACTCAGGAATTAATCTTCCCCAGGGTCTCGTAGTTCATACCGGTGGTAGGAGGAATTCCTAGTCATAGCTGATGTGCGGGTTAGAAGCAACCCACAATCTGGCAAGCATGGATTTGAATTCTCACTGTCATCGTGTTGATTGTGACCTTTCACATGCCATTAACTTCCCTAAGCCTGTTAGGAAGGCTTAGGATGATCACTTAAGACTGTTGTAGAGGTTGGTAGACGCTCTCTATATCAAGCACCTGGCACAGTGCATAGTCATTAATATATATGTAAGCATTCATCACTACCCCTCCTTTTTAATATGATTCAGCTAAAAGGAGGTATCGAACATGCAAAAAGTTGTCTCTGGTCTGTCTACTTTTTGGGAAGTCTGTTTTAAGTTTTAATTATCTTTATTTTGTAGATACTTATCCTAGAAACATGCCAGTTTATCATTTGAGATCTAGAAATGTGATATCAGTTAAATAACACCACAGGCTAATTGGGAAGAAGGAGCTGTGAACTGGGAGGGGTTCTGGGTTTTGCTTCTGTTCTCTAGCTGATTAATTTTATATCCCTGGGCACTGTCACTGTATCTTCTCTTTATCCATGAAATAATACGTGGAAGAATAGTTGGGCATCATAGGAATTACTGTTTATTTAAAAAGGAATTTGTGATCAGATGTAGGAGCTTAGTTTTCGGCTTAATGAAAAGCCTAGTAAGTGCTTTCTTTCCATGTACCACTTCCTGCCTGGTACCCACACAACATATCTAGGTATTTGATGAAAGGATAGAGAGGATTTTACTCTCCAGCATTTAGCAAATATTCTGTTTGTCATATTGGATTTGAACTAATACTTGTTAAGGAGGTAGATTCTCTTTAAGTTTCATATTTATATGATCATGTACTCTAGGATTTTCTTTTCCAATCTAAAAACTCCTTGAATAAATCTTCCTCAACAATGATACTGATCTTTCTTTCATTTTTATTGGAGTGGTTTTTTTTTTGTTGTTGTTGTTGTTGNCTGGTCCTGGGTAGTCGCTGTCGTGCTCTGGCGCCCTTGGCGGGAGGGCGGCGCACAGGGCAGCCACAGCCCCCACACGGCACTTCACGGCCCAACCTAGGCCCTGCTACCGGCCGCTGTTCCTCTTACCGTCTGGTCGGCTTAAATGTAGTTTTAAATGTAGTTTTCACTACATAGGTCTTGCACATCTTTTGTCAAATTTATCCTTATATTTCAGATTTTTGATGCTTATTAAGTAGTATATTTTATTTCAATTTCCAGTTGTTCATTGGTAGTATATAGAAACACAATTGATTTTTGTATGTTAATATTATATTTTGTAACCTTGCTAAAAGTCATATATTTATTCTAGTATCTCTTTTGTAGACTCCGTAGGATTTTCTTTTTTTTTAAAAAAAGATGACCGGTAAGGGGATCTTAACCCTTGACTTGGTGCTGTCAGCACCACGCTCATCCAGTGAGCTAACTGGCCATCCCTATATGGGATCCGAACCCGTGGCCTTGGTGTTATCAGCACCGCACTCTCCCGAGTGAGCCACAGGCCGGCCCCGGATTTTCTATATAGACAATAATGTCACCTATGAATAAAGACAGTCTTGCTTCTCCTTTTCCAGTTTAGATGTCTTTTATTTCTTTTTCTTGCCTGCTAGAACCTCCAGTACATCTTGAAGAGAAATACTGAGAGTGGAGTACTAGGTATTGAGAAAAGGTGGGGATTTTTTTCACCATAGAAGACATTTAGAAGTGGGAAGAATAATTGTAATCTCTTCTTTCTCTCTCCTTTCCTTCTCTCAGACATCTACATCAGTGAATGAAAGATCAACAACAAAAATAAAACAACCCTTTACAAAATTTAATTCATGCTTTTACTTTTAAAATTTAAGTCTAGGTTGCTCATTTTTGGCCAAAATGTCCTGATTCCTTATGAACCTAAACCTTCTTCATGATAATGTCTCTGAACCATTGTTTCTTGATATGAATTGGGAATGATACTGCCTATTTCACAAGTTTTTGTCTATGTGAGGGCTCATTATCAGGAAGTTCTTAATGTCCGATAAAGTGTGCTTCCTTACAACTACTACTTACCAATGATTATGTCCCCTGGGACCACACACAAACACAAAAACAAATATACCAGGGAGTAAGTGTAATCCTTATTTCATGAGACAGCCCTTCAGATATTTAGAGACGGTGTTGTGACCCTCCTAAATTTCTCTTCCAGGCTAAAAGTTCCTTATCTATTCAGGTTGTGCTTTGGATATAATGCAGTTTTTAAAGAATTGTGTGACTGTTACAGTGAGTATGATTGTTGAGATGTGTCCTGCTTACTACAGAATAGAGTAAACATTCAGAATTGTGGCACTATTTCAGTCCTGTATCCAAACATTGTGCTGTTATTTCTGCAGACTGAGATTGCATTAGCTTTTGTTAGCATTCTTGTCATTTTGCTGGCATTTGCTGAGTTTATAATTGAAATCTGCCAGGTGCTGTTAAGCCAAGTACTGCTATATTTTAAACATAAATGTGGATTATCCCTGTTGTGTTAATTTTAATTTATTTTAGTCCATTGTTCTTCCTATTAATTTTTTTCTTCAAGTTTTGTTTAAAATGTGTTTGCTTATATACTGTTTAATTAAATCAGAGCAAATACAGAAATCTAGAACACATGAGACTGAGTTCCTTTCAGACCAGCAGTTGCTAGAAGTCTCTTAGGACTGTACAACTCACTGCAAGTCCATATAGCTAATATACAATAGATGCCGCTGTATGTTGCCCACTAGGATAATAGGAGAGACACTGAAGTGTCTTGCTGAAATCAAGATATGCTCAATGTACAGAATTCCCCTGAAGAGATAGGATAACAACCTTATCATAAAAAGAAAGTGAGTTTAGTCTGGTGTGGCTGCTTCTTTGAGAAGCATTGCTGGGGATCCTAGAATACTTATTTTTTCTTCTTCTGTAACGGCTCACGATTTCCTGCATAGTAAACAGATTTAGCTTTTGCCAGGGATCAACATGACATTTACTGATCTACAGCTTTTAAAAAATCTTTTAAAACTTTGAGGCATCATCTTGTCTCTAGTATTTTGGTACCTCTAACCTATCTTACTAACTTCAGTCCTGAGAACTTGCGCCTCCATGGAGCGAAAGCTGTTCAGGCTCTGAGAATTAGCTATAACTAATTTAAAGCACCTTAGTGCCATCTTTATGTCCTTTTCCTAACTTGGGCTTTAAATTTTGTATTATTTAGTCTTTTGATTTCTTCTAATACTACAGAGTGCATTTTACACACAGCATTCTTTTTGGACCTCATAGGTAATGAGGATCACGGCTACGGCACAAATTACTTTTAACCACACGACAGTCACATATGCTAACATGGTGTGTTTAATTGGAACATTTAAAAAACCAATCATTAATCATATATTTACATGAAAATTGCCCTAATTTTTTTTTTATGTTCAAAATTAAGCCCTTAGAATAATGAGTTTATGAGTATGGCCATACAGAATTGATTTGGGTAATTTGACATAGAATTGTACAAATAATTGACATTAAATCTTAACCAATTAGTGAAATTGTAAAATACAGCTAAGGGAATTTTTTTGAGTCATGCTTGTGTTTCCTTTTGTGCAACATAGTTTAAAAAAATTAGGACAGTGGGGTATAGACTGTGAAGTTAAGGCCAAATCTCTAATTACACGTGAAACAAAGATTTACAGATAATTTTGTTTTTATTTAGAAGAGCTGTCAGAAGATGATCTACTGAGTCAGTATTCTCTTTCGCTTTCAAAGAAGACCAAGAAAAATAGCTGCGAAAGTAGTAACTCATCGAATTCTTCTGAAATGTTCATGCCTGACCTGGTAGATGGAATTGCTAACAAAACAAGCTTAAAAACGCCACCTAGGACAAGGAATAAATTTGCAACATTTTTACAGAGAAAAAATGAAGAAAGTGGTGCAGTTGTGGTTCCAGGGACCAGAAGCAGGTATGGTTACATCTACAGAATATTGTTTGTCTGCTGTATTTTATACTCTATTGATGTGTATTTTGTACTGAAAAAACATTGAATCTAGAGGGGTGTAGGTGTAGGATCTTCCTTAATCTGATTATAATTTTATCATGTACAGATTGAGTATCCCTTATCCAAAATGCTTGGGACCAGAAGAAGTGTTTCAGATTTGGGATTTTTTGGGGTTTTGAAATATTTGCATATACATAATGAGATATCTTGGGGATGGCACCCAAGTCTAAACATGAAATTGATTTATTTTTCATATCCACCTTATAGCCATGGCCTAAAGGTAATTTTAGCAATTTTTGCATGAAACGAAGTTTCTGTACATTGAACCATCAGAAATCAAAGGTGTCACTATCTCAGCCACCCATGTGAACAGTCTGTGGTTGTTTGAGATCACCAGCATTCCTGACTCTGAATTTATGTGCTGCAGATAAGGAATCCTTTTCCTACACTTATTCTCACATAAATATTTAACAGTAAAAAAAATATGACAGTCCATTAGTACAGTGAAAAAAATCATGCATTCCAGGTAACTGAACACTTAGTAGCATCACCAGAATACCTGTATCGGCTGTTAAACACCATCATCAACAAATAACAGCAGGCTTTCAGTCTTCACCTAGGATGCTGTGTTTTGATTAAAGGGTTACTGTACACTGTATTTTATTTTTTGGGGGGGAAAGATATATCACTGCTGAAGGGGGCTGGGAGGGTCTTTTTTCTCCTGGGATACTAAATAGACTCTGTGTGGTGTGCCTGCATTTTGACTGCGACCCATCAAATGAGGTCATGTGTGGAATTTTCCATTTGTGGCCTCATGTCGGCACTCAAAAAGTTTCAGATTTTGGAGCATTTGGGATTTTGAATTTTTGGGTAAGGGATGTTCAACCTGTATTACTTTAATTCTAACCTAAATGCATTGCTGTTACTTTCAACTTCTATTAGTTTTGTGATCTCTCCGTACAGAATCAAAGTAAGAGTATCCCCTATTGTTACATTTTGCATTACAGGAATTCTGTTGTTTTGGGAGCACCCTACCCCTCTTTCTTTTTTCCTAAGTTTTTGGTTTCTTTGAGGGCTTAATACAATTTTGCAAAGTATTTTCAGAAATATATCCAAATATAGATGACTGTAGAATTGTAATATTAATTGAAAACCTGATACCATGCTAGGTGCTATGGTTACAAAAATGAGAGACATAGTTTATGTTCTTGAGAAGCTTATAGTCCAATTGGAAAAACAGGTACATAAAATCTTTTTGTGCAGTGTGGTAAGTACAGGCATTTTTTGGTGTTCACAGGAGTTGGGGGTGGAGTTCCAGGACCCCCGAGGATACCAAAATCCGCAGATGCGCAAATCCCTTATTAACATGGCATAGTATTTGCATATGACCTACACACATCCTCTTGTATACCTTATCTCTAGATTACTTATAATACCTAATACAATGTAAACACTATTTATGGCTGGCCAGTTAGCGTGTGTGTGTGTCTGTGTGTGTATAGGACTTGCTTATTTGGTCACTGTTGAAGCTTAAAGAAATCTCCAAGTTTGAGGCTATATATAGCTGCTTTATATAGTTTATGAGATGTTTCACTAGTAAGTTCCTCGGAGGGTGTATTGAGATGCCTGAAGAAGTAATTTTTTTTCTCCATCAGCTTCCTGTGAAACAATAACTGAGAGTAAGTCTTTGACATATAATTTTCTGACCTGGGTTATATAGCAACATCTGGTAATAACTAGATATTTTTAAATTAGCATTCAAAGTTAATTTTCAAAGTTCTTTTACCCCTCATAACAATATTATGAGATACAAAGGGTTGATGTTATTTTCACTGTTTTGGGTTAAGTGATTAACACTCAGGAATTAATCTTCCCCAGGGTCTTGTAGTTCATACCGGTGGTAGGAGGAATCCCTAGTCATAGCTGATGTGCAGGTTAGAAGCAACCCACAATCTGGCAAGCCTGGATTTGAATTCTCACTGTCATCGTGTTGATTGTGACCTTTCACATGCCATTAACTTCCCTAAGCCTGTTAGGAAGGCTTAGGATGATCACTTAAGACTGTTGTAGAGGTTGGTAGACGCTCTCTATATCAAGCACCTGGCACAGTGCATAGTCATTAATATATATGTAAGCATTCATCACTACCCCTCCTTTTTAATATGATTCAGCTAAAAGGAGGTATCGAACATGCAAAAAGTTGTCTCTGGTCTGTCTACTTTTTGGGAAGTCTGTTTTAAGTTTTAATTATCTTTATTTTGTAGATACTTATCCTAGAAACATGCCAGTTTATCATTTGAGATCTAGAAATGTGATATCAGTTAAATAACACCACAGGCTAATTGGGAAGAAGGAGCTGTGAACTGGGAGGGGTTCTGGGTTTTGCTTCTGTTCTCTAGCTGATTAATTTTATATCCCTGGGCACTGTCACTGTATCTTCTCTTTATCCATGAAATAATACGTGGAAGAATAGTTGGGCATCATAGGAATTACTGTTTATTTAAAAAGGAATTTGTGATCAGATGTAGGAGCTTAGTTTTCGGCTTAATGAAAAGCCTAGTAAGTGCTTTCTTTCCATGTACCACTTCCTGCCTGGTACCCACACAACATATCTAGGTATTTGATGAAAGGATAGAGAGGATTTTACTCTCCAGCATTTAGCAAATATTCTGTTTGTCATATTGGATTTGAACTAATACTTGTTAAGGAGGTAGATTCTCTTTAAGTTTCATATTTATATGATCATGTACTCTAGGATTTTCTTTTCCAATCTAAAAACTCCTTGAATAAATCTTCCTCAACAATGATACTGATCTTTCTTTCATTTTTATTGGAGTGGTTTTTTTTTTGTTGTTGTTGTTGTTGTTTTTAAAGATGACCGGTAAGGGGATCTTAACCCTCGACTTGGTGTTGTCAGCACCACGCTCAGCCAGATCCCTATATGGGATCTGAACACGGGGCATTGGTGTTATCAGCACCGCACTCTCCCGAGTGAGCCATGGGCTGGCCCTATTGGAACGTTTTTAAGCAGTTTTTTAAAAGCTCCTACGTGGAATAAGTAACACCTCTTCAGTAATGTAGAATTTAATGATTGATTTGAAGCTCTTAACCTCAATATTTAAATAGTATGGAAGCTTATAAAATATATAACAAGCTAGTAGATTAATATACTACTACAAGTTCCCAGGTGAGTTGATGCTTAGGAATAAAGTTAAAGATGAGGGGTAAATGACTAACTTCTTTCATTTTGCTTGCTGCAAAATATGAGACAGTAGTTATAAATTATTCCTTCTGTTGCATATTTCCATATCTGTTCATGTATTTGACTATCAGCTGTGTGTTAGCCACTATTTTATGTATTGTGGTGGATACAAAGACATGGACAGTACCTGTCCTCAAGGAGTTTATCTGTCCTCTGGGAGTTTAAAAAGTTGGGAGAAAGAGCACATATGAGATGATTAGATAAAAATACAGAAGTTCCAAATCTATGTGTATGTAGATGACTGCTTTTAGAAAGTCCTGTCAAAAATTTATTGTATAAATAAATTTCTAGATGTGTGAATGGTTTCATAATCAAGATTTAAATTTTGAATAAAATTCAAGATTTATATTGCCTTCAATTATGAAATAAATTGTGTTTATGAGACTTTTTTAGAAAGACATTCCATGTTGAATATTGAGTCCCTGATGGAGTTTGGATGTGTTGTCCCCTCCAGGACTCATGTGGAAATTTGATTCCTAATGTGACAGTGTTGGAAACTGATTGAGTCGTGGGGGTGGATCCTTCATGAGTGGATTAATGCTCTCCTTGGGGGTGGGGGGGGAGTCATGAGTGAGTTCTCGCTCTATTAGTTCCCATGAGAGCTGGTCGTTTATAGGACCCTGGTGCACACGCTCTCTCTCTCTCTCTCTCTCTCTCTCTCTCTCTCTCTCTCTCTCTCTTTCTCCCTCCCCCTCCCTCCCCCTCTCTCTTGCTTTCTCTTGCCATGTGATCTGCTTGTATCCTCCATCTCCCTGCCACTTTTCCACCATGAATAGAAGCAGCCTGAGGCCCATGCCAAATGCAGCTGTCCCAGAATCGTAAGCCAAATAAACCTCTCTTCTTTATAAATTACCCAGTCTCAGGTAATTCTGTTGTAGCAACACAAAATGGACTAAAACAGTCCCTTGCAAGAAAACCCTAAAATACTTATCCACTCTTTCTGATTTTTTTTGTTAGATTTTTTTGCAGTTCTCTGGATTCTGCCGACTATGTATCAAAGAAAGCTAGCAGCCAACCTCTAGATGAAACTGCTGTTACAGATAAAGAGACCCATCTAAATGAATCAGATTGTCTAGACCTAGAAGGCAAGAAGCAGGTTGATACAAATGTAGCACATAATTCAAGTGATCGGATTCCAGAGGATGTAGCAGTGTTCCCTGATGAGGAGTCTCAGTCTTTTAAGACCAGCAGATTCACAAGGACCATTTCACTACCCACTTTGGGGACACTAAGAAGTTGTTTTAGTTGGTCTGGAAGTCTTGGAGATTTTTCAAGAACTCCCAGCCCCTCTCCGAGCACAGCATTGCAGCAGTTCCGAAGAAAGAGCGATTCCCCCACCTCTCTGCCTGAGAATAATGTGTCTGAAATATCTCAGTTAAAGAGTGATGCGTCAGGTGATGGGTCTCATTCCTTATGTGAAGTGGGTTGCTCCTCACAGTCCCAGGAAAGCATAGAATTGTCACCGCACAGTTCAAATGCATCCAGACTTTCTCAGCCTTCTAGTAAGGATTCTGATTCAGAGGTAAGTAGAATTATGAAGCCTTTGTTTTTAAATGCATATGTAAGAGAAAATAGGGTGTTAATTAGATAATTGAGATTTTGCCTATATTATGGAAATGACTGGCTATCTTAATTTTTTATTCTGTATCCCTCTGTGTAGAAAGTTCACATTTTATTTATTTGAAGGACTTCTGTATCTTTCATATTTTAAACTCCTTTACATTTAATCTAACTTTATACTTCCTGAATCACTGTGTGTTCCATTAATGGGTATCACAATTTGTGGCACAATTAAAACCTAAGCAGGATGATAATCTATGAAATGAAAAATTATTATAAATTTATGATTTAAATCCTTAATATAGTCATGAATTTAAATAACACTTGAGACCTCATAAGGAAATGGCCTTGTTAATGTAATGATGTCTGTCTTAAGTTTTAGTACTTCAGAAATATATTTTCATTTACTCTTGTTCCTGCTAAACTTGCTCTTTATAACAGAACAAAATATTAATACTAGGGATTTTATGTTATTCTGTTTTAAATTTATAAAATCATCCTAACCACTTTTTTCTTCTCTATGAAATATCTTTTATTTTGACTTATATAAAACCAAAACTCCAGATAAATACTGCTCATAAGATGCAGTCACATATTTAAAAATGATATGGTAGCATAATAGCTTTCTTTAAATCTGAGTTATCTCAAATTTACCAATGTAACACACTTTGCTTTTTACTACCATGACCAAGTTGTAAGAACAATTATAGCCCTGATAATACTTGACAGAATTTTTGTTGTCTGATAATTCTGAATATTGAACAGCATCTAATAAACCTGTATAGCTTGTATTTATCAACAAGAAAACATTCATTCAAGTTCCCAAAGGAAACTTGAATTGTGCTGGACTCAAATTGAAGAAAAAAGCCAAGTTAAAATGTGGAAATAAAAATTGTTTTCATTTGGAGAAAGCTGAGATTAACTTATATATTTGGATCCAAAATCTGTCCCCTGTGGTGTTTTTTAAGTTTTTAGGGGATGCCAAGCCAAACCCTGGGCTGCCTGTGAGACTTCTGCTTCTCTTTTCCCTTGTTTTGCCTTCTGGTCGCTCACACTGAGTGTGTCTGCACTGTCTAGAAGCCTCTTCCTGTTCCTTTTAATGTGAAACTCCACTTCAGTGTCATCTTTTTCTTTTTATCTCATTCTGCATGTTCTCTTGGCGCCATTTGGCTACCACTGCAGTTGTTATCTCTTGAACATCTTTCATAAAAACATCACTCTGTGTGATGATACTTTGAAGTCTTCTCCACTTCTTTGGGATATGCTTTTTTCTTTTTCCAGCAGGCGTCTTCCTGGTTCACTTGCATTGTAAGCTTTTGGCCATGTTTTACTGAGAAGCTCACCAGCTCATAGCACATGCTGACAAAACCATTGTTTATACTAATCAGTTATAAAAATACAAACCCTCTTCTAACCCTCAAAAAGTAAACTAACTATTCATTAAGTCACCTCTCTTGCCTCCAGTTGCAGTAAATTTCTTTTTTTTTTTTCCTTTTTGTCTTTTTTCGTGTC